GCCATGATTCCTCCCCATATTATTTGAAGACCTCATGCGACACATTCCTTTCTGGGATGACTCACACATTTAACTATGATTAGAATTACACTGTTTGACTATAATAATGTTTCAAAATGAATATCATCATTAACATTTCTATGAAATTTAATGTCTGCAATTTGAAACATATGCACACATTATATCCCTGTAAGAGAGGCGAAAGATACCAAAGAAATATTCAAAGTCGAAAATAAACTGACAACGCTTTGGCAAACGAAAAAAAAACACCAAAAGACAAACAACTGTTTACAAAACACATCATAGAAAACTAAAGACTGAGCAACACGAACCCTACCATAAAAACCGGGGTGGTCTCGAGTGCTCTGGAAGGGTAAGCATGTGGCACCCGCCGTGCTGCTCGTATAATTATAAAACCCGGTGATAAGTCTAATTTGGTAGGTCACATTAGGGTTTTGTGAGATTGCGAGATTGTGGTTACGACAATATGAACAAATCGGTCGTCATCTGCGAAACAGATATTTCATAACGATCAACCAACTCATGATGGCGTTGTAAAATTTTCGAAGGGATGATTTCAGCCTCTTGGTTTGATAGCTTCCTTATGAAAAGCAACTCTCTATGAATGTTCCTACATAGAAATGGCAAGTTCACAATCGGGAAGCTGCATTCATCTCTTTATCGTTAAGTTTTGCTATCAACCGACTCTAATGTCAATTTCTCTAGATGTTAGTCAAGATATGAGGCTGACTAAACTGTATCTGTTGTATCTTTTATTTCAAGTTCGATGGAATAGATGTGTTCAACAATTTAGCTAAATGTTTGTAAAAATAAAAATATTTGGTCAATTTATGATATTTCCATCGATGTTGTTAAGTTAAAAAATGTTACGCTCAGGAAGTAATGGAAAGGTAACTCTCCATAAAGTTTCAAACGTCATTTCAGACATTTTGCATTACCAATCAATGTGTAGCTTCACAAGGAGCCATCAAAACATCACCATCGTGAAAAGAGATAAAGGTTTCATTAGTTATCTGTGAAAAATTCTGATATAAGGTCCATGATAACAGATAAATTTCCTTTTTTTTTACTTTTGATTGAGTTGTTCAATGACCAGTAAATAGGATCATAGCTAGCACGCTGAAAGCTTTTGAAATAGAAGCAGGTGATTACATCAAGTTTCTGCAAAGATTACAGAAACAGCTTACTGTCAAGCACTTTCTTGGACTTGCATATCAATTTAATTTGCCGAATACTTGTACTATCATGAGCATTTGATGGGTCGATATAATACTCAAAACCATTAAACGACCCTTTGAAAAAGAATATCATGAATATGATGGAAAATCTTTCGTGCATTCAATTTGCTAAGAGTGTATGGCCACAAGAACAAACGGACCAATGGTGTCGTAAAATGGTTTGTACACATGATGGTTACCTGTAGAATAATAGTGCACTGACGGATTGGCAAGAAAATTGGTCTCTTTTTCTCTTTCACTATACTTATTTGCACCATTAAATCCATTGATATTTTAACAAAGAGCTTTCAATTCAGCATACACAAAAGAAGAAGAAATCCATGGAATAAACGCATTATGGAAAGTTATATCATCCGTTTTGTAAACAACATTCTGAAGAAATTCTAATAAACAAATCGTGTCTAAGTTGGTATTCAATTAAATCTAACCAACTGTCTATCTTACCTTAAACACAAAAAATCGGCATTCAAGTGATGATGTCCGACCTTATTCTGCCACAGCAAAGGTATATTAAAAACCACTATAGTATTCAGAAGTCCCAAGTGCTAGTGTCATTTTGTGACTTTGCGTTACTTGTGTAACTGGTATGATATCTCAAGAATTATCAGATATTGGATGCGTACTAGCAGATGAAACAGTTCTATCAGAGAGTGATTTAACTACATTCATCTCTGCACAGGACGCCGTATTAAACTGCTGTCTTAGATAAAAATAAAAATATGTCGATGTACTGTCATTCCTCATTCACAAAAGATCAGCACACACACACATGCGTGATTTAAGAGACCGGTCTGACTGCTGTTGAATACAGCACCTAAAAGATCTCGAAAATAAACAACTGGCATAAATAATACATCGTCTGTTAAACTTCAGTAAGACGTTAACCCGAGAACCGAGAACTCATTATACAGTCTTTAACGAATGACAAGAGCCAATGTGTTGTCATCCTTGTATAGATTGCTTCATCTACGAATGAATCACCTGAGGCGACCAAAGATCTAGAAAACAAACCCTTGTAATTAGTTTGATTCGACAAGACATAAGAGAATATTGACAATCACTTTTGAATTTTATATTATGTCTTTCAAATTTAATATTCTTTAAGAGTGATGTCCGATTTTGAAATAATATTTCAAATATTTTCAAAGCCTGAAACCATGTAATACACAGCTTGTATCGTGTACTAGTGTGTTTCCATTGATTCGGTAGCTATTGTACGGAAGGGAACAAAAGGAAACGTTCAGGTTTCTAAAAATACAAACCAAGACAATGACAATCTATGTACACATGTAGGGAAGTAATTATCTTCCTGTTAATATTATCGTGAGACAAATTTAACATTTGTGTTAGTTCAGTGTTGCTTTTTTGTTCAGTTGAGTAGGTGAATTGTTTTCTTATTGAGGTATACTTTCCTTTTAGTTTTTGTTCAAGAACAGCATAAGGTCTTCAACAATAAACAAGTGTCTTTATAATTTTTCAAACTTGATATTCCTCTTTATACAATAGTTGTAAATTAATTTAAGAAAAATTATAAAATAAAATCTACCATCAACACCAAATTCCCTACTTGATAAAATCATTAAGATATCATTTGAGACAACCACTGACAAGGTTCTCAGTACTTGATAAAATCATAAAGATATCATTTGAGACAACCACTGACAAGGTTCCCAGTACCTGATAAAATCATTAAGATATCATTTGAGACAACCACTGCCAAGGTTCCCAGTACTTGATAAAATCATAAAGATATCATTTGAGACAACCACTGACAAGGTTCCCAGTACCTGATAAAATCATTAAGATATCATTTGAGACAACCACTGCCAAGGTTCCCAGTACTTGATAAAATCATAAAGATATCATTTGAGACAACCACTGACAAGGTTCCCAGTACCTGATAAAATCATTAAGATATCATTTGAGACAACCACTGCCAAGGTTCCCAGTACTTGATAAAGTCATTAAGATATCATTTGAGACAACCACTGACAAGGTTCCCAGTACTTGATAAAATCATTAAGATATCATTTGAGACAACCACTGACAAGGTTCCCAGTACTTGATAACATCATTTAGATATCATTTGAGACAACCACTGACAAGGTTCCCAGTACCTGATAAAATCATTAAGATATCACTTGAGACAACCACTGACAAGGTTCCCAGTACCTGATAAAATCATTAAGATATCATTTGAGACAACCACTGACAAGGTTCCCAGTACTTGATAAAATCATTAAGACATCATTTGAGACAACCACTGACAAGGTTCCCAGTACTTGATAAAATCATTAAGATATCATTTGAGACAACCACTGACAAGGTTCCCAATACTTGATAAAATCATTAAGATATCATTTGAGACAACCACTGACAAGGTTCCCAATACTTGATAAAATCATTAAGATATCACTTGAGACAACCACTGACAAGGTTCCCAGTACCTGATAAAATCATTAAGATATCATTTGAGACAACCACTGACAAGGTTCCCAGTACTTGATAAAATCATAAAGATATCATTTGAGACAACCACTGACAAGGTTCCCAGTAGTCAAATGAAAATATAACAGGGTTAGACTAGTGTTTTTTTTATCAAAATCATGCAGTTCTACTCTGTAATATCGGCGGATGCTTATTGGTGAATATTTCATGCAGCAACTTCATCAGGTGAATCACTCGAGTTGGTTTTATGGGGGAAAATGGGTGCGGGTGGGCATTATTTTATTACAATGAATGATTTAGTAACTGAGGTTACTGTTTTAGGATAATGAAAATTAATGTTTACTGTAATATAAGGGAGAACGGACATCATTTTAATGGAAACTATAAAGACTGTCATGCCATGTCATGAGGTATTCCCAATATGCCGGATTAAACAAGCGTCATGTCACCAATGGGACATTGACTTTTGAAAAAACCTAGACTTTAGTACATTTCTTATTTCGAGTTAAAAAATCTATTACAAAACTGATACAAAAATGTAAAGAACGAAAAATTAGTTTGATGTAGGTTTATTTATGATAAACGCCAGGAAAATTATAATTACACATGTATCTAGGGAAAAAACAAAGAAAATGTAAACTCTCATCGTTTACGTTCAGAAGATGTAACTTTGTATTCCATCAAATCTTATTGACTCGGCAGAGGCTTTCAATAAATGAATCCTGATGTTGTAAAGTATCATATCAATAGTACATAAATGTTGGTAGGTAGTAATAAACAATACTTTTTCTTAATATCGCAAGCACGATTTTAGATTATTTGCATTGTAAATTCTTACTTTTATTTGAATTCCTGTTTATTCATGATGTAAGCATTGTATTCATTGTAATTTGTTTCTCTTGAAAAGATAGCATGAAGACTATGCATCACAATACCGCTATGAATTGCGATTTAGGTACATTATTCGAACGCAAATAGTTGCTTTAATTTGATAATATACAGATACGCTCATCAAACGACTTGAAACAAAACGTATAAAGCATTTGATTGATCATTTGGGACAAAGTCATAAGCGTTTTATCATTCAGATAGCTAAAATAACTGGTAATGGGTTTATAATTCAGCCATTTTACACATAAAGTGATATCAGAGAAAATTACGCAATTTACGAATTTATTGTACTTATCCATGGTATTTAACTAATGGATTTACGGTGGTAAATCATGGAAATTATGGCGCAGGAATAGTGTCACAATGGCGTTTTAATGCCATCGCATAATTCATTTACGCCATCGCATAATTCAATTTATGCAATCGCATTAATAATTATGCGATCGCATAATTCAATTTATGCAATCGCATAAATAATTATGCGATGGCATTATTATTTATGCAATCGCATTAATTGAATTATGCGATAGCATTAATCCCATAAATGCAATCTCTTAAATATCTATCCATTTATGCAGTCGCATAAATATTTTTGCAATCGCAGAAAACATATTTTTCGACCAATCAAAATCTATATAACATCGATTGAAACTTCCCTTCATTTTTAAGGAGAAGTCCAAGTACCTCCGAATGAACTTTAATTAAGACTGCAAGTGACAGTGCTAACAATTTCATGTAACTTGTAAGATGGTAAATTCGATGGATAGGAGGATCTTGCAGACATGTAGCCTGGCATCCTGACACAATCTTATAATTCCTCGATCTACTGTCGTGCAGTTACTGAGTTAGCCAGGATCACAGGCTCTGAGGCTGGCAAGATGGCGATTCGCACAAGGCGTGGAGGAGGTAGAGATAATCTCAATCTGGTGAACTTCTTATCTACTTGTGATGGCGTTGTCCAGGATGTTGCTAGATTATTGAGAACTGATCATAGCGACGTAAACTATGTTGATTCATCGCTTTTGCGAATACAGACTCTTGCAACAAATCTAAATAGGGTGTGTCATAGCCATCCAGAAAATACAGAGTTACTGCGTTTGGTACAGTTACTTCAGTCTGACATCAAGGAATTGAAAAGGTATCAAAATTTTATTTATTATAATATTTTTTTAAATTTGTAAAAGGTTTAGGTCTGTACGCGTTATCATATTTTTAAAGTTTAATAATTAAAGAACAACATGGGAGCCGTGGTGTAGTGGTTAGTGCATCGGACTACTAACACAAAGGTTTCTGGTTCGATTCCCGTTATGGGATGAAATTTTCAGGGACTGAATTTTCGGCTCTCCCTTGAAACCATTTGCGAGTATAGTCTTGAGGAAATGATGATAGTCCGTCTGAAGGGGACGATAAATGGCTGACCCGTGTTAAGAGAGAGCCATATCTCTTGCACGTTAAAGACACCCTTGTAGATTTCGAAAAAGAGCAGGCTAATACTGCTACAAGGCAGCACTCGCACTCACAAAGTGGAAAGGGATTAATATAAGTTGCAAAAACTGTTTCCCAATCCACTATAAATAAATATGTTTAAACTAAAGAACAACAATTTAAGCTTCATGCGGACCCTTTGGCTAAAATGGCTGAATTTTCACCTCAAAATTCACTTTGAGTACAGAGTGCATCTTGAAAAGTTTTAAGGCATAGCATGCCCTAGATATACATGTATGTGATCAAATTATTTTTTTATTTTTTTAGTGCATCCTCAGGTACAGCATATAAGGCTACTAGAACAATTCAAGGCTCAGCTGGCCCCCCATCTTATGATATAACTAGAGATCAACTTGAGTTTTTTTTGGAATTGGGTTTCAAGGGAACTGATATGGCAAAGATGCTCCAAGTATCAAGATCTACTGTAATGAGAAGATTGAGGTTGGTATCTGATCACAAATTTTTTATGTTCTTTCAAATTTATGGCCTGCAAAAATAGCTTATAATATTTCACACATTGTTCATGTTCAATATATTATATTAACTTGTAAAACAATTGAATTATTTATCATGAAGTCCAAAAAATTTAAGTGCATATATATCGAAATATAAGGTAAGAAATTTAACTGAATAATTTTTTTTTTAAGGTTCTTCACGTTATCAATATCTGACACCTTCACTGTTCTTTCCGATGATGAGTTGGATTTGTTAATCAAGCCAATGGTTGTTGAAAACCCATACCTGGGATATAGATCTGTAAAGGCTCGTTTAAGAAGTCTTGGCCATGTATTCCAAGAGGGCAAAGTACGTGAAGCTCTTATTAGATGTGATCCTACAGCTGCAGCATTGAGATGGTCTGACACAATACATAGGAGAAAATACTGTGTAGCTGGGCCAAATTCCCTTTGGCATATTGATGGAAATCATAAGCTAATCAGGTTTGTTAATATCAGAACAGCATATCCATATATGTTAGTAGAAAATCGTTATTTATATTGACCTGACATGATGAATTAGAATGAATTTCAATAGATGAGGTTACTTTAATAATACTGGTAATTTCTGCTGAAAGCAAGCAGTTATTTGGAAACATAACCATAACTTTAGTTCAATACGATATTATTTTAATATGTAAAAGTAACTTATGCCGTGGTAATGCGAATAATTCAGTGTGGATTAAAAATTAAATTTTTGGAAGTTTAAAGTTATAGTAAGGAACACATCTACAGATTTAAAACTTTTTCTTGTCCTTCAAAGAACATAGCTGCAAAACTGTGAAAATAGGTGCAATTTTGGAACCCTCACTTTAGGTACATTAATATCCCTGATATAGCAGAAATTACCATGAATTTATTATTATCTTATCCTTCTTTATTGTATTCCATGTGTAAACGTAAGTTTTTTTCCTTCAGGCTGATTTCCTTGTAGTTAAAGGTTCATACATGTTTTAAATGCTTGGAACAAAACAAAGCATTAAAATACAGGGTCACAGTAACTGCAGCCTCTAGTTTGGATAACCTTATAATTCTCCTACAGTCATTGACAGTGAACAAAATGGTGAAATCTGTATAGACACTGAATAAGCATGATCCTTAAACCAAACATTTTTAAAAACCCCTCAATATAGATTATTTCTATCTAATCTGAACACCAGCATACAACGACAGAAATCTTAAGTCTTATAGGGGTTCTGTTTATAGTGTAATAGACTGGTTTTACTGTTTATATAAATTGGGAACTCATGAATTTTTCAATTATATTTTTAAGTTTAGGAAAAGTGAGTAGAATTAAATTCTTCAATGGTTTTCAAAATTACAGAGCAGTAATTAACTTATAAAGAACACTCTTGCTGTGTTATTATTATGAACATATCACTAAAATTATTGATACTTTCAACAGCAATAAGATTGAAGAAATTAGAGTGGTTTGTCAGCATCTATGATACAAAAAAAAGAAACTTTGCCAAATGTGCCTATTTACTTTTATGTAAAGTAGATATGAGTAAACCTTGAAAGATATTACTGAATTTGGTTGACTATGCAAATAAAGTTGAATTAACAACAAAAAAAATCAAAATCTTGCAAGATACAACATGTGCCAATTTGAACCAGAGAGGACCTAAAACCTTAACTTAACATTAAATCTGTTAGCGCCAGAAGTCTCATAATGCCTTTGAAGTCCTCAGATTTTCTTTTCTCAAAATTAAATAAATCAACAAGCAGGATTTTCCAAAAAAAAAAACCTTAATGGATAAAAAAATCTTGAGAACCAGAATGCAAGTCCGTCAAATATTGTGCATGAATCATCAATACAACATTCATTGACATTGAGCTCTTCACTCTTCATTTGCAATTGAAAAATGAGGGGCCTGATGGGGGGGGTCTCATCACGATTCACGAGTTGATTTTTTTGTCAATCACGATTCACAGAAAATAAATTTCCATGATCACAGATCACGATAGCGAAAATGCACCGATCACGAGGAACGAAAATAACCCATCAGGCCCCTCGAAAATGATTGCAATTTAGCAGAAGTATCTCTGGGGTATGATTTGTAAAAAAAAATAAGAAAAATCATACCAGTCAGATTTTAAATATGACAGAACTTACTTGTGTCTTTAACTTTAATCTTTCTTATCTAAATATAATTCAGGTGGCGATTTGTGATTCACGGCGGAATTGATGGATTCAGCCGCCTGATTGTATTTATGGGAGTGGCCACAAACAACAAGTCTTCCACAGTATTTGATTTATTTCTAAATGCCACAACAACTTGTGGACTACCATCTCGAGTGAGAACTGATCATGGAGGTGAAAATGTTGATGTTGCCAATTTCATGGTCTTACAAAGAGGACCTGGGAGAGGGAGTATAATACAAGGAAGGAGTGTTCATAACCAGAGGATAGAGAGATTGTGGCTAGATTTGTTTAAAGGCTGTACAAATGTGTTTTATGACTTATTTACATTTCTGGAAGCTGAACATATTCTGAACATAGAAAATGAGAAGCACATATTTGCCCTTCATTTTGTTTTTATTCCAAAGATCCAGGCCTCGCTACAAATATTTCTGAATCAGTGGAATAATCATAAGCTTAGCTCTGAAAATGGAAAAACTCCAAACCAATTGTTTTTGAAAGGGGTCCTTCAGCAGTATCATAGTGAGTCAAGTGTCATCAAAGACCTTTTCAATGAGATTGATGATGACTTTGGCATTGACTGGGGAGGTCCAGTACCTGATACTGAAGATGAGAATATTGAAGTTACAATTCCAGAAACACAGTTTCATCTGTTGGACACAAGTTTACAAGAACTAAGAACACAAGTTTTTCCCCTTCTAGAAAATAGAAATGATTTTGGAATTTCTGAATACCTTGTAACATTAGATTATTTGGACCATTATCAACAGTAATTTTGATTTATTTACAAATTAAAATTTTATTGATTAGTCCCTCTACAAAGTATTTATAGTGTCAATGTCCTCATGCACATCCACACTTGCTTAAAATCTAAGATCTTATCCTAGGAACAAGAAGGGACGACATCAAAAGTTCAATGTAGGATAAAAAACTTAATTCACATAGTTTTTTCAATGATCCTTCCCTCTCCCTTTTTTAACTTCATTTGGGAAAAATTGACTGATCAATATGGATACCTGTAAAATCAATGTCAAATAAACAAATCTTGCAGCATTTTTTACCCCCACACCCCAAACTATTTGATTTCGTTTTTATACGCCCGTTTACGGGATGTATTATGGTATACCGTTGTCCGTCTGTCCGTCCGTCGTCAACATGTCGGACATTAACTCAAAAACGCTTTAACCAATTTGCATAAAACTTTGGTGAATTGTTTATATCTATTGACGTGAGCTCCCTTTCGTTTTTTATAAATTTTAAATTTTACGTTTCTGAGTTATGGGGTTTTATTCATTAAAAAAGGGGTGATTTTCCAGTTTTCGGACCATAACTCAAGAATGCTTTCACCAACTTGCAAGAAATTGTGGTGAATTGTTTATATGTATTGACATGAGCTCCCTTTCGATTTTTATAAATTTTAGATTTTATATTTTCTAGTTGCAGGGTTTTATTCATAAAAAAGGGGGATTTTCCAGTTTTCGGACAAAAACTCAAAAATGCTTTCAGCAGTTCTTATGAAACTATGGTGAATTGTTTATATCTATTTAAGTAAGCTCCCTTTAGAATTTTATAAATTTTACATTTTACATTTCTGAGTTATGGGGTTTTATTCATTAAAAAAGGGGGGATTTTCCAGTTTTCGGACAATAACTCAAAATTGCTGTGAGCAATTCTCATGAAACTTTGGTGAATTGTTTATATCTATTGATGTAAGCTCCCTTTTTATTTTCATAAATTTCTAGTATGACATTGAGAATAAATTGAACTTTATTTGTTTATAGTCTGACAACAGATTTACTAAGTATTGCGCAACAGCACAGTGTATTGCACAACAGCAAGAAATCTTTAATTGAATATAATTTCAATTCATATAACCAATTTCAAGTTCTTTGACTACATTTATTCAAAAACCTGTAATATGTCAAATATTTAATTACAATCCAAATTCAGACCTGTATCAAGCTTGAATATTGTGTCCATTTTTGCCCCAACTGTTCAGGGTTGGACCTCTGTGGGCGTATCCAACTGCGCTCAGCGAAGCAGTTTATTTTTCATTTATTGATCTTTTGATGCCCTCCCTAGGAGGTACTTGAAGGAACTTGTCAGCTTGTATACACTGATCTATGTTTAATTGTTAGAGATCATCCTTCAGCAAGAATAATTTCACTGAGAGATATTTGTAGTTTTTTATGTTCCAGAGGTTAGGCGAAGGGGGTATTAATTTTTACCAGTGTCTTTCCATAATTTTGTCCATACATACATTTGTACATCCCAAAATTGGTTTCCATTCTTTAACGACTAACGTCACAGTACCCAAGTTGCATGGAGTACCCCAATTGCATCTATTCAACAAAAACCGCTGGGGAAATCTTAAAAATTTTCTTTGAAACAAAATAATTTGTAATTTTGTTATTTGACATTAAACACGTCTTTCATGAAAGGTAAAAATATAAAATATACATAAAACATTCACGTATACATAAATCAATAGATTCAAAATTCTATCTAGGAGTTACGCCGCTTTGAACTTATTTGCCTCAATAAGCTACTGTAACAGTTTGTCATCGCAGCCCCTCTGAAACCACACAACAGAATTTCATGAAACTTTTTAGATAATGATATGTAGGGAATTATGTTTTTTTTTCTGCGAGTTACACCCCTTTGAACTTATTTGCCTCAATAAACTATTGCAACTCCTCTGAAACCACACAGCAGAATTTCATAAAACTTTTTAGATAATATGGACATACTATGTAGACCTGCATATCAACAGGAAATTATGATTCAATTGTTTTTATACGCCCGTTTACGGGACGTATTATGGTATATCAGTGTCCGTCCGTCTGTCTGTCGTCAACATGTCAGACATTAACTCAAAAATTCTTTCACCAATTTGCATAAAACTTTGGTGAATTGTTTATATCTATTGACGTGAGCTCCCTTTCGTTTTTTATAAAATTTAGATTTCACCTTTCCGAGTTATGGGGTTTTATTCATTAAAAAAAAGGGGGATTTTCCAGTTTTCGGACAATAAGTCAAGAATGCTTTCACTAACTTGCAAGAAATTGTGGTGAATTGTTTATATCTATTGACATGAGCCCCCTTTCGATTTTTATAAATTTTAGATTTTACGTTTCCGAGTAACAGGGTTTTATTCATAAAAAAAGGGGGGATTTTCCAGTTTTCAGACAAAAACTCAAAAATGCTTTCAGCAATTCTTATGAAACCTTAATGAATTGTTTGTTTGTATTGATGTAAGCTCCTTTTAGAATTTTATAAATTTTACATTTTACATTTCTGAGTTGTGGGGTTTTATTCATTAAAAAAAGGGGTGATTTTCAAGTTTTCTGGCAATAACTCAAAAATGCTGTCACCAATTCTCAGGAAACTTTGGTGAATTGTTAATATCTATTGATGTAAGCTCCCTTTTTATTTTCATAAATTTCTAATATGACATTGAGAATTAATTGAACTTTATTTGTTTATAGTCTGACAACAGCAGATATACTAAGTATTGCACAACAGCAAGAAATCTTTAAGTGAATATAAATTCAATTCATATAACCAATTTCAAGTTCTTTGACTACATTTATTCAGAACCTATAATATGTCAAATATTTAATTACAATCCAAATTCAGACCTGAATCAAGCTTGAATATTGTGTCCATTTTTGCCCCAACTGTTCAGGGTTGGACCTCTGCGGGCATATCTAGCTGCGCTCAGCGAAGCAGTTTATTCTATGAGTTATACCTCTTTGAACTTATTTGCCTCAATAAAACAATGAACTTATTTGCCTCAATAAAACAACAACAACAACAATACTTTATTTTAAGAGGTTTACACAGTTAGCTATATAACTAATCTTCCCTGAGGCCCTCATCATGAAAATCAAACAAAATGCAAACATATACATTGCATACATCAGAATAAAAAGTCAAGTATGATAATAACGTTCAATACAACTTGATAAGATGTTATGAAAATAATCAGTTTTCAATATTAATTATACAGCTAGGTATAAATAATATACTTCTGAAACAGTTTGTCATTGTAACTCTTCTAAAACCACACAACAGAATTTCAATCAACTTTGTAGATAATAATTAGGACATACTATGTAGATGTGCATTTTAACAATAAGTAATGATTCAATTTTTTTTAGAGTTATTTTATTTGTCTAGTGACAATGTGGTGGTGTCGGGTATGTGACCACGCTCACTAAGGTTCTTTAATTGTGATATTTAGTAACAAGATTTGTGTTTACGAAATGCTACAACCAAATAATTTTTTTTTGGCATGTGAACTTAGAATGTTGGCTAACATATCAAGAATGAGTATCCTACTGATCGAATAATTTTTTTGAAAGTAATTGTCTTTGAAAATAGGTAATTTTGCCAAAATATTAGTTTTCTGGACTTACTTTTCTTAATAGGTAATGACTGCTTCGCACTGTCATAAATTAAGTGTTCACTTCTGTTTATATGTTTATATATTTTTACAGAGAATGTAATTTATTCATTTATTTAAATAAATGTGATTAGCTTTATTTGTTTTTTTTTAAATTATATTCTTTCAAGGTTTTATTTGCATATTATCTCATAATTAGTATGAAAGACATTAAGTACAAATGTAAATAAAAAAACACAACCCTAAAAAATATTTGATATGCATTGAGAGAGTTATCCACCCAGACTAGTATGAACGTCTATTTTACAGTCTGAAGAAAAGCAAGAGTGCACATGCTGAAATGTCTCGCCTTTCTTTACTTATCATAGTATTATGTTGAAAGTCCTAAATATAAAGCTTTAATACAACTAACACATAAACTTTACATGATAAAAGAAAATGAGGTCAAGGTCATGTAAACCAAACAAGTAATATATGTACACCTTACAATCATTCAATACACTAAATATAGTTGACCTATTGCTTATAGTTTCTAAGAAGCAGACTTAACCAAGGAAATTAAACATTGACCAATGAACCATAAAAATGTCTCTGGTTAAGGTTAGATGAACCATGCCAGGCAGACATGTACAGCTTACAAATCTTCCAGACAACACATATACATGTAGTTGTCCTATTGCTTAAAGTTTAAGAAAATCAGACCAAAACACAAAAACTTAACACTTTGCAATTAACCATAAAAATGAGGTCATGGTAAAATAACACCTGTGACACTGACCTGTGCATCATAGAATATTTCCATACACCAAATATAGTTGACCTATTGCATATAGTATTAGCAAAAAAAGACCAAAACTCAAAAACTTAACTTTGACCACTGAACCATGAAAATGAGGTTAAGGTTAGATGACACCTGCCAGCTAGACATGTACACCTTACAATCATTCCACATACACAATTTATAGTAGACATATTGCATACAGTATAAGAAAAACCGACCAAAACTCAAAAACTTAACTATAACCACTGAACCATAAAAATGAGGCCAAGGTCAGATGACACCTGCCAGTTGGACATATACTGTAACACCTTACAGTCCTTCCATACACCGAATATACTAAACCTATTGCCTATAGTATCTGAGATATGGACTTGACCACACAAACTTAACATTGATCAATGATCCATGAAATGAGGTGAGGTCAAGTGAAAACTGTCTGATGGGCATGAAGACCTTGCAAGGTACGCACATACCAAATATAGTTATCCTTTTGCTCATAATAAGAGATAAATTCACATTACCAAAAAATCTTAACTTTTTTCAAGTAGTCGCTGAACCATGAACATGAGGCCTTTTCAATCTTTTTTTCGTATTACTGTCTATGTGTATTACATTATTGAAGTTTTTAACGTTGGCATCAATATTTCTTTGTTTTCTAGAAATATGCAGTTTACTATCCATATTCGTATACTGATATTTCTCATTGTTAACTCAAAGGCCATACGGATGCCTGTAACTTACACATTCACTTCATTTGAACTTTGGTAGATGGTTGTCTCATTAACAATCAAACATTTTTTTTTATATTTAACCATAGTCGGGTCCAGGGGGCCCGGGCCACCCTTTTACGGGAAAAGGTAGGTTGATAAAACCTAAAACCAAGTGTATATATATACAAGAGTTGAATATCCCCTAAGTGTTTCATTATGACTTGCACATTTGAAAGTGAAACAATGGCATGCCGGTAAAGATCTCAAAAGATAAAGATAGAAAAAAGGCAGCTGTAAACATAACGAAAAAAAACCACACCATTATTGAATCTTTTTAAAGTCGTACGTAGTCCTGTTATGATATCAAAAGCAGTATGTAATAAGGATTTGTCCTTTTCAATCATTGGTTAAAATCTTGTGGTTTTTTTTTCTTATTTTCTTAACATAATGATGTTATTTCAAAATTGAAAACGGGAAATAGGTCAAATAGACATCATTCCGACCAAAGCATACAAAGCAATCCAAAATTAAAAATTTAAATTACCGTAGCGTAGTAACTTAATGACTAAAACTTAGTGAATTAAGTGCAGTTAACTTAACTTACCGAGTCGGAGACGGATTTAAGGTAGGGCTGTATAGTAAGATATTTCGGTTTTACACGGGAAATTCCACACTAAAATTTACGACAAAAGGGACGATTTGTTCGTTCCCTATTGTTAATTTTCCCTTTTTGGAATGTGGTGTTCCTTTGGCACCATATTACGGTGTTAATATTTCATACCTAGTTGGCTATGCCCGTGTCTATTGTGACGTTTTTGATTTTATCGAACGTTATCTATTACTGGTAAATTGTTAAGCCAGGGATTTCGTTACCACAAATTACTTTAAACCATAGATATAAAGATTTGGTTTTAAAGTATGGTTGTACTTGTAGAAAACTTGTTTCAAACGGGATAGCACATCACCATTTTTACGGAAATGTTGTTTACCGTGCCTGGAAACTTAGAAACGATCCTGGTAAACTTATCGATCATTTGGGTCTCATTGGGGTCAAAGCGTGACGCGGGATGGACGATTTTTTGTAAGCGTGACCCGTGAAAGTGCCGTGAAAACGGGGGAAAAGTCTAGTGGGACACGGAAATTACAAAAAAAATGAGAATTGCTTACATACATAATGTAAGCGGGATACGGGAATCTTACAAAACAGTAAGCGGGATCCCGGATCAGAACCCCCCAATGAGACCCCTTTAAATAAACTTATTCTAAAAACATGGTTACCAATTTAACACTGTAGTTGCATCATTGAATAGTGCTGATATCCGTATTAATATTGATTTTGTTATCAGTAAATTAAAAGCAAACCAAATATTATTGTTATATATGTTCCAGACCGTATGAGTATTTGGACCGTACGCGTACGGTCTGGACTTTTTCAAAATACTCATACGGTCGGACCGTACGCGTACGGTCTGATTTATATTAAGAAGTTTGTCAAATTTACTAGATACAAATGCATATAACAGATCAACATAACTTAACTCTCAAATTAATATAAAAAAGTTCAATTGTAATTGAAATAAAAACTTTATATTTTAATTATTTAAAAAAAATCACGTTAAACTCTTGTATTTAGCGTGTCGATTAGTAATACTTTAATTGAATTATGACAATTATGCTCTCTGAAATTGAAGATATCGGAAATAAACATAATGTGGAAGGACAATTGTTTTAGAATATTTGTATTTAGCAACTTTACAAAAAAAAATGCAAATGCAAAAGAACATGCATGAACTGCAAACATGTAAATTTAAAAAATATTACATTTCTTGTGGTAGCAAGTGTCACCTTCGGCGAGAGTACCAAAATAGGATTCAGATATACAATTAAACAAATATTCAATTTAACTTTTTTATCTAGATTAATCTAATTGTAATAATAACAATTTGTAAAACTAAAAAATAAAGATTGTGATAATTGTTTGTTTAAATTTAACCCAAATGATCCAATAACATGTCATGGTCAGCTCGTACTGGACCATACGCGTATACTCATACGGTCCGACTGCACGCGTATGGTCGGACCGTACGCGTACGGTCAGAATACTCACATGGTCTGGAACATATACATATACACATTCACGGATTTACATTCTGTCGGTATGGGCTTTGCTCGTTGTTGCAGGCGACCTATATGCAGTATACGGTGACCTATAGTTGTTAATTTCTGTGTCCTTTAGGTCTCTTGTGGAGAGTTGTCCCATTGGCAATCATACCACATCTTCTTTTTTATATATTAGCATATTGGCTAACGCATCACCCATATTGAAACCTTTTACGACCTTTGTCGTCAAGATTCTAAGAAAAATTAAATAAGAATCAAATAAGTTTAGAAAAATATGCTTTTACAACATGATTCGAATATTCTTGAAATACAATAATGATCAGTAATAACAATCGAAGCTCATGCTTAGATTTGGCTAACCAAGGACTTATATGACATACATGTATAAAACATTGCGGCAACCTGGGAACAGTATATGTCAATATATATGTTCCTGCGGCAACCCACAAAAACATTAATAAACAAATAAAAAAAAAATACTAGTAGACAAAAGGTCTCAAAGTTCATTTGATATATAAAGTACGTCTGAACCAGTGACAACTCTACTACCGATTTTATTCATTGGATCACCAAAAATGGTGATACAAGGCTGAAAAAACATTTTCTATATTAAATTCGTCTAAATAACAGCCCAACAATGTTAGATCTGTAAATTTGCGGAAGCAATTTTTTGTTCTTCCCTGCCACTGATATATCGTGAAACCAAATCGCCTTGTACTATACCCGCCCCGCTAGACCACTTGACCACCTATGCTCGACAAAAATCAAACTTTCGGTGGATACATATATATGCCTGTGTATGTACCAATGTATTAGATTTTAGCGAGAGAAATTTATGTATTACTGAAAAATTATAACACCATGGTTTTCGATATCATATATTACACATCCAGTCTTTTATGGCAATATTCTTTACAAAGCACAAATATGTCGGCATTCACCTTTAACAAAATTTAGTTTTTTTTAAGATTTAAGATTTAATAAAAAGGGATATAGTTACGATACTGTTGACAGGTCATTAAAGATGGCATGTTTTGGCCTTAATATTGATTCACTTAATATGGTCTTTGCTTCGGAAATCGTAACATGTATTATAAAACCAGTTGTTGGCATGATACAGGTTATTATCTTCTCATATATTTTATGATGGTATGATAACCCCTAAAGGGAGTGATTGTGCTTGATATTTATATGATGAAGACATGGTCCTTCATCAGTTTAATTGAGGTATGGAGCTGGCATGTCAGTAACGGTTAGTTGTCCGTAGTTAATTTATTTATCATTGTCTTTTGTTTAGTTTCTTTTGTTACCTATTCTGACATCGGACTCGGACTTCTTTTAAACCGAGTTTTACTGTGCGTATTGCTGTGTGGTTTTTTTCTACATGCATTGACTAGAGGTATAGGGGAGGGTTAAGATCTAAAAAAAACAAAAACAAAAAACTCGTTTAACCCCGCCACATTTTTGCGCCTGTCCCAAGTCCATATAAGTACAATGTTTAGATATTATCATCGACTAGATAATATT